TGTTATATGTGAATATGATTCTGCATTCATATGCTGGGTGGTTATTTTGCAGACTTGTTTATGTGGACAGCTAGACCATTTATGTCTAAAGTTAGTATTGTTATGTGTGAATATGATTCTGCATTCATATGCTGGCTGGTTATTTTGCAGACTTGTTTATGTGTCTCATTACTTCATAGTGTCACTGGTCTGTTTACTTCAGTGTGTTTTTGTAGTGGCTGGTAATAGTTTTTCCTATCCATATGTAGTGCTGCCTTCAGGAGCTCTTGCAAGGCAGGCCTGGTGGTGACGAATTCCCTCAGCATTTGCTTGTCTCAAAAGTATCTCATTTCCCCTTCACTTATGAAACTTAATTTGGCCAGATATGTAATTCTAGGTTGGAAATTCTTTAAAAATGTTGAATATTGGCCCACAATCTCTTCTGGCTTGTAGGACTTCTACTGAAAGGTGTGCTGTTAGTCTGATGGGCTTCCCTTTGTAGATGATTGGCCTTTCTCTCTGGCTGTTCTTAACATTTTTTTCTTTCATTTTGACCTTGGAGAATCTGATGATTATGTGTCTTGGGGTTGATCTTTTCATGTAGTATCTTACTGGGTTCTCTGAATTTCCTAATTTGAATTTTAGCCTGTCTTGCTAGGTTGGGGAAGTTCTCCTAGATAATATCCTGAAGTATATTTTCTAACTTGGTTCCATTCTCCCTATCTCTTTCAGGTTCCCCAATCAGTCATAGGTTCAGTATTAATCCCATATTTCTGGGAGGTTTTGTTCATGTCTTTTCATTCTTTTTTCTCTAATATTTTCTGTCTTTATTTTATTTTATTTGAGATAGAGTCTTGCTGTGTCACCCAGGCTGGAGTGCAGTGGCACAGTCTTGGCTCATTGCAACCTCCACCTCCTGGGTTCAAGTGATTCTCCAGACGTCAACCTCCTGAGTAGCTGGGATTACAGGCACCCACCACCACACCCAGCCAATTTTTGTATTTTTAGTAGCGATGGGTTTCACCATGTTGGCCAGGCTGGTCTCGAACTCCTGACCTCAGATGATCTACCCACCTTGGCCTCCCAAAGTGCTGGGATTACAGGCATGAGCCACCATGCCTGGCCTATATTTTCAAGTGAACTAGCTATTAATAGATTGCTGCAACTATTATTGTTTTTGATAGATTTTTTGGGGGGTGTTATATTAGAATTATGAGTGGATTACATACCACAAATATAATAATATTCTGGATTTGTCTATGTATTTAATTTTGCCAGTTGGCTTTATATCTTGAAAAGCTTTCTTTTGAATGTTTATAGGTTTTCTTTCAGATTGAAGAACTACTTTTTGCATTTCTTGTAAGACAGGCCTGGTGGTGGTGAATTCTCTCAGCTTTGTTTGTCTGTGAAATACTTTATCTATCCTTCAAATGTGAGTGTCAATTTTGCTGGATATTTTTATATGGCAATTCTTTCTTTGTTTGAGCACTTTGAAAATATCATTCCATTCCCTCCTGGCCTATATGGTTTCCATTGAGAAGTCTGTTGCCAGACAAATTAGAACTTCATTATGTTATTTCCTTCTTATCTCTCACTGCTTTTCAGATCTTGATCTTTGAGAATTTGATGATTAAATGCCTTATTTGGACTGAACTGGTTTGGTGTTCTAAGACATTCCTGTAACCTGGATTTATCTTTCTCAAATTTGGAAAGTTTTCTGTTATTATGTTTTTTAATAAGCTTTCTACCCCTTGCTCTTTGCTCAGATCCCCCTTAGATACCAATCATTCTTAGATTTGGTCTTTTGAGGCAATTTTCTATGTCTTGTACATAGTGTTCATTTCTTTTCATTCCCCCTGCCCTCTGTATATTTTCAAATAACAAGTCTTTGAGCTCATCGATTCTTTTCTCTGCTTGGTTATTCTGATGTCGAGAGCCTCTAAAGAGGTTTTCAGTGCAGCAAATTTATTTCTTAGTTCCAAGATGTCTATTTGATATTTTTTATTATCTCAATTCCTTTGTTAAATTTTTCTGATAAATTTCTAAATTGCTTGGAAATTTACTGAATTTTCTTAAAACTATTTTGAATTATTGGTCAGAAGCTCATGAATCACCATCTTATTAGGGTCAGTCTCTGGATTTTTGCTTTGTCCTTTTGGGGAGGTTGTGGGTCCCTGTCTACAGTTGTTTCTTGTGAGTATACATGTATGTCTTTGCATTGAAAGTATTTACTCCAGTTTTCTCTGTCCAGCTTGTTTTGTTTTTTATTGAATATATTTGTTTAGCAAATCTTCACTGTTAGGTTGCTGCCTGCCTTTTGGTTCTGGCTGGGGTGGCACCTTAAGGCCAAATTCACCTCAGCTCTAGTAACTGGTCCGAGTACTGCCTGTCTCAAATGGGGCATCCCAAAGGGATTATCCTGGGAGCATGGGAAGGCTGGCTAGGAGCTTGTGCCCAGGGGACCAGGGGAATGTACCTCCTGCAGTCACTTTTATTTGGCATCTCCTTTGGCCAAAGTTACAGAGCAAAGTTTCTGGGCTGGGGAGGGTAGTCCCACCTCCCCTGTTTGACTCTGCCTAGTCTCGGGGATATTTCTCCTTTCAGGCAGTCACGATGCTATGTGCAGGTTAATGCAATGATACGTCTCCTGCTAGGGAGCCCAGGAAGATGGAGAAGCTGGCTGATCACCTCCATTTTACTTTTTCCAGGGTATAAACCATGAGTTAAGGGCAGATTTTCTGTGCAGTTGGTGCCTGGCAGGATTCGGTGGGGGGGGGGG